TCTGCAATGGTGTGCTTCGCGTTCTTGCTCCCGGCGTCCTTTTTTCTTCTTGCTGTCGGCACCAACACTGAATGGATCGCAAGCCAATTTAAAGTTGATTGTATCTCTATTAAATGAAAACAGTCTAATTATTATATGATAATAGAAAAAAAGAGAAGCACTTACCTTCAGAGCTTTCCAAAAATTTGAGCAGGTTTATTTCCTGTTGCTTCCTTACTCCTGCTTTTAATAAGTCCGAAAAATGGTTTGCGAAAGCTGGATCTACACTCATAGAAATTTTTACCTAAATACTAGAAAAATCGCCCTAAAACCGAGGTCGCCCTAAAACTACGAAAAATTTTCTTATTATACGGGTGGCTAGCCCTAAAGTTACGAAAAATCGCCATGGAAAATATTTTTTAGGGTTAGTTTTACCAAAAAGGCCAATTTGTCCTGTTTTTTAGGGCGAATTTTTACGAGTCGACTCCAAAAGTAATTCCTTCTTTTTAGGGCGAAATCGCCCTAAAACGTTGAACAAAATAGCAAAACAAATGTTCTGAAATTGCCCTAAAAACAAGGAATAGTCAAACGAAATTTTAAGACGCAATTAATGGATACATATGTAATACATGTGTGTATGTGTGTGTGGTTGACAGGTCAAAACAAGTGAATGTGTGTGTATATTAGGGCGGACCTTTTTCTGTGAATTTTGATGCTGAGCGCATTTGACTTTAGAGAAGTCCACCCTTTTTTCTTCTTCTTTGCTACTTTTCGTCCGCTGCAGTGGCAAGGGTGGGGGTAGAAAGAGTTGCATTGTCTAGACTTTGTCATAATTTTTCGGGCGCTTGGCAGTGAAAGACGTGTTTGTATGAAACCTTTTGTTTGTGAAAAAGTGAAAAATGTAAACGCTATTAAAGGACTTGGGAGGCGATTCTTTTTCTGTTTTCTGGTGAGTACATACATATATAATTGTGCAATTTTGATATTAATAACTAATTGAATTTACATATCTGTAACAAAGGAAGGAAAATGCAGCTGAAACTTTAAAAAATTTGAGTGGAAGCAGCTACGAGGAGAAATTCCTGTTCAACTAGTCGGTCCAGAAGCGGAAGTGTGGCAGAACAAAGTAAGATCATTAATAAGAGTATACATATATGTATGTGTATATGTAAATAATGCTTGAGTTAAAAAAATGATGCAACAGAATACACACATACATATATATATATTTACAAGAAATCTGTATTTATGCACCGGACAAACCGCATTCACAAGTGCATATGCCAAAACAACCCCCAAATTTCTATTGCGACATTTCGTCAGTGCTCGAAATTTGCTTTTGCTGCTTCTTTTTTTTCTAGGAGTAGCAGCAAACGCAATCGCAGGCTAAATGAAAATTGTGTGTGTTGGCTGTGCATTTTTATATTAATTTCTTATAAAATTTTTTTTTTTTTTTAGATCGAGAACGCTTTTCAGATCCAGCTTTCGCAAACCACTTGTCGGACTTATTAAAAGTAGGAGTAAGGAAGCAACAGGAAATAAACCTGCTCAAATTTTTGGAAAGCTCTGAAGGTAAGTGCTTCTCTTTTTTTCAATTATCATATAATAATTAGACCGTTTTCATTTAATAGAGATACAATCAACTTTAATTTGGCTTGCGATCCATTCAGTGTTGGTGCCGACAGCAAAAACAAAAAAGGACGCCGGGAGCAAGAATATAAATTGTGTAAATATATTTGTAGTTAATGTAAATAACAACAAAAAAAAAAAAAAAAAAAAATATATATATATTGAAATTGTATTTTTATTTATGAAAAATGGCCGTGAAATTTTGGGGAGCATTTTGCATGTTTTAGGGCAATTCACCTATAAATCCAGAGAAAATGCCCTAGATTTTTGAAAATCTGCCTTTAGTTTTAGGATATTTTTCCTTATTTCTAGGGCAATTCGCCTTAAAATCCAGAAAAACACCCTAGATTTATAAAAAATTGCCTTTAGTTTAAAGGTATTTTTTCCGATTTCCAGGGCAATTCGCCTATAAGTTCAAAAAAATCGCCCTGGATTTAAAGGAAACTGCCTTTAGTTTAAGGGTCTCATTTCTTATTTTTAGGGCAATTACCTTTGAAAATAGAAAAATCGCCCTAGATCTACGAAAAATCACACTAAATGTATGACAAATTCACCCGTATTTTTAGGGCAATTTGCCCTAATTTTGTTGCCTAGTCGCCATTGACCCCCGTTTTAGGGCGATTTTCCTTGTTTTTAGGGCGATTTTACCGGAAAATTTCTATGAGTGTAAAAAGCGTTCTCAATCTAAACAAAAAAAGATAAAATTGTTAGAAATTAATATAAAAATGCACAACCAACACACACAATTTTCATTTAGCCTGCGGTTGCGTTTGCTGCTACTCCTAGAAAAAAAAAGAAGCAGAAAAAGCAAATTTCGAGCACTGACGAAATGTCGCAATAGAAATTTGGGGGCTGTTTTGGCATATGCACTTATGAATGCGGTTTGTCCGGTGCATAAATACAGATTTCTTGTAAATATATACATATGTATGTGTGTATTCTGTTGCATCATCTTTTTAACTCAAGCATTATTTACATATACACATACATATATGTATACTCTTATTAATGATCTTACTTTGTTCTGCCACACTTCCAAAACTTCCGCTTCTGGACCGACTAGTTGAACAGGAATTTCTCCTCGTAGCTGCTTCCACTCAAATTTTTTAAAGTTTCCGCTGCATTTTCCTTTGTTACAGATATTTAAATTCAATTAGTTATTAATATCCAAATTGCACAATTATATATGTATGTACTCACCAGAAATCAGAAAAAGAATCGCCTCCCAAGTCCCTTAATAGCGTTTACATTTTTCACTTTTTCACAAACAAAAGGTTTCATACAAACACGTCTTTCACTGCCAAGCGCCCGAAAAATTATGACAAAGTCTAGACAATGCAACTCTTTCTACCCCCACCCTTGCCACTGCAGCGGACGAAAAGTAGCAAAAAAGAAGAAAAAGGGTGGACTTCTCTAAAGTCAAATGCGCTCAGCATCAAAATTCATAGAAAAAGGTCCGCCCTAATATACACACACATTCACTTGTTTTGACCTGTCAACCACACACACATACACACATGTATTACATATGTATCCATTAATTGCGTCTTAAAATTTCGTTTGACTCTTCCTTGTTTTTAGGGCAATTTCAGAACATTTTTTTTGCTATTTTGTTCTACGTTTTAGGGCGATTTCGCCCTAAAAAGAAGGAATTACTTTTGGAGGCGACTCATAAAAATTCGCCCTAAAAAACACGGAAAATTTGCCTTTTTGAAAAAACTAACCCTAAAAAATATTTTCCATGGCGATTTTTCGTATATTTAGGGCTAGCCACCCGTATAATAAGAAAATTTTCCTTAGTTTTAGGGCGACCTCGGTTTTAGGGCGACTTTTCTAGTATTTAGGTAAAAATTTCTATGAGTGTAGTAGGCCCGCTGGGGAAATGGCCTAAAATATGGCTGCCGACTAACGTCCATAATTTCATGAGCAATTTTGGGAGCCAACAGGATCGGAGGAAGGAAAGCACCTCGCATGGTCGCGGACGATGTTGCTGGCAAAGTGCAGTGATAAATCAGATTGTCACTTTTGTATATTTGCGCCAACTGACGATGCCGTCTCCCTTGGAACTGAGTTGCATGCATGCGAAAGCAGGCTCCTGATGCGTTCATGCACAGCAGCGGGCATATAAATAAAATTTACAATATACCTCAATTAACTATGTATTTAGGCACTCTTTCGCACTAATCTGCAAGGCAATAGTGACATGTAAATAATGGATTTGAACATTTTTTGTTATTTTTAAACAAGTTATGAAAATTAATATTAATTTTAAGAAGTAGTAATATTTTGTTGAATGCCGCTGCATTGCATGCAAGCGTCTGCCGACTGCCTTAAAATGCATTCACCAAAGGGAAGCGAGAAAAAAAGCGAGAGAACAGGAATGCATTTCACTTTGCCAATGCGCAACGAGTCATAATTATTATTATTTTGATTACGGCACCTGAAAGATGACATTATTAACATCGCTAATGTGGCGAAACGGGGACGCGATGTATGTACATCGTACAATGTACACACATACAAAAGGGCATACTTAATTAATTGATTCACTGGGAAAAATTGAAATTAATGTTTCCTTCTTGTGGTTAATATAATTTTGGATATTCGATACAATAAGTGGCTAATAACGGATATTGTTTTCAATTGTCCTTATCCTGAACAGAATTTCTGCAATAGTAAGTGAAAAACAAATAAACGTTAATTGAAACCATTAATTGAAACAAGAACAAGCTGTCTAAAACATACGCTTTTCGTTTTTAGTTGACACATTTGCAAATGCTTGCTGTCCTCCACTTTTGGGTAGTTAATGGAAACTCTTTACAGAACTTTTATTTACATGTACAAAGTCCTAAAAAGCGCAACCAGAGACACTTCAAATTATTATTGGGGAGGGGCTTGATTTTCAATTATAATTGGATAATTATTCTATCCTTACATGAGTAATTTATTGAAATAAAATCACATTAAAACGATGCTTTATCCTAATTAATTAAGTATTATTATCTTTAAGAATTGTGTTTCTCTCAACCATTAATCCAAGAAACCACCCAATAACGGGGCGAAGTGTCCAAAATATATATAGGTATCTAATTTTACACTGTGCAGCTGGTGCTCTACGTTACAGTAAGTCTTACTTTTCACTCAGGTGGTGTAATTTATGGATAGGAGCACAAAGTTGTTAGATTACATTTGTACATACATTAAAATTGATTTGAGCCTCGTATGTGAATGCAATTTTGAATGCAAATTTGTAGTGGTAAATTGATAATTTTGTTTTAAATAGTTTAAAAACGATCAAAGCCATTACTATTAAACAGTTTTTTTTTTATATATATAATTATGATTGGTTTCCAACCAATGTGTTTGTGTTGTTTGTATGCTTTCCCATCTAGCTACTCGACATTCACAGCTTCATCACGCTGGGATTCAGGTATCTGCCCGATGTGCAGCTTCTCCAGCTGATTGGCCTGCTCCTCATCCAGCTGCCTGGAGGAATCGATATGGCCCAGATACTCCGACGGCTGCGAACAGTCCATTGAAGTGGCCTCCTTCCAGCAGGGACTCTTCAGCTGGTCCATAAACTTCAGATGCCGTTCCGCACAATAGGGCTCCACGATGATATAGTGGGGATCCTCCGTTTGTGGTCGGTCGTACATGCGAAGTCGCGAGGTAATGGCCTGTTCCTGGACCCGTTTGATATACTCGGGCCGACTATTGGCCAACATGTTCAAGGCCTCCATGTTGTTGACCGCATCCATGACGACGAGATCGCCCGAGGACGATTGGCCGGTACAGATACTGCCCTCGGGATCGGCAAATATGGCCTGGATATAGCGGAGCAAGTGCCAGATGTGATGTTGCTCCTTGCGCCACTCCTTGAAGAAGGGCGTCAGATCGAGCGTTCTATTTTCCGGGCAGATGTGCGGATGAAGGATGGCCGTCGAGAAGACCACAGTTAGCAGGATGAATTCGTCCGGGAAATTTTCCGGCAGTAGAATGGAGAAGCGAAACACGCTGCCAGCATAGATTCCACTGTGCACGAAAATCACGCCGAACCAGTGCAGTCCACAGGCATAGCTAGGAATCGCATAGATGTTCTTCAGTTCCTCCTTTACCAGGTTGTACTCGGCCAGGATCTGGTAGCCCTGTCTTATGAGGGCCATTCTCGGATTGGTTGCCGTAGTATACCACATGGTGTTTGCACGGTATGGCTAGGGCACAAGATGGTGGCTCAAGCTCCTCCAAAAATCTAAGTCGTGATAACTGAAAATTTGGAAGAGCTTGTGGAATCTTGCGGAACGTTTTTGTGTGTAAGTGACGCTCCAAAGGCCTAGAAATGGAATGGAATTTAAGACTACATTTTCTGACAATAAATTCTGAAACCATAGACTTTGTGTCAATTTTGTAAAGCCTAGTTTCCACAAAGATCTAATTAAATTTTCACTAAAGCATCCAATTTGTAAGTTACAGAAAATTTCTCAAATTTATAAAAATAAAACATGTAAGGCTTATTTTTAGTTTATTTTTAACTTAAAATTAAAATGTTGTTATTGTTGATGAAAATTAAAGTCGCGTTTATGAATCGGTTTCGAGCTGGAATGTTTATCAATTAAATTATAAATTATTGCCTGAGTTTTAAGGTATAAGAATAACAAATAATTGTTACAATTGATTAAAAAAAAATCGCAATATAAAAATGGCGGATTTACATAAATTTACTCATTTGGATATCATTGGTGTTCTTGATTTGTTGTTGTCTAACATGAATTTTTTTATTCAGGAAAATTCGAAATAACTGCCATTGACTATAATTATCATTATTTTGATCTCATATTAAGAAATTCGTTTTAGAAAGAATTTTTGCAGTGGAAACCAATATAATAAATAAATCGAATCAATATGAAGTATCAATGCCGTTCCGAGATATATTCTAAATTATTAATTTTTTTTCCCTTTATGACAGCTACCAATGTACTTTTTGCCGAATAAAATGGACACTTACATTTATGCAGCATGTCGACTTACTGCAAAACAACATACAAGCGGGAAACGGGAATTGTCCGCAGAGACCTCAAAAAACTATGTATGTCCAGTCACAACTACACAAGCTCCTTTGGCGGAGGGGGGTAGGCGGGAATTAACTGCAGATGGGCCTGAAACTGCGGATCTGGAACTGGTACTCAGCGGCATATTCAATCATGTCAAGTGTAATAATTTTGCGAATAGCAGATACACGCAGGAACCGAGCCCGCAGCCTTGGGGAGTTGGGGATTTGGAGGACTGGAGATCTGGCGGTCTGGCGGTTTGGAGACGGGGCTTAGACCGCATCGCATGTGTGTGTGTGCGGATTTTTGATTTATTGTCGCCACGATGCTCTGATGTACGGTTCTTTCACGCACTGGCAACATAATGTGGTATTATAATGTCGCATGTTCTGGCCGTGTGAGCTGGTGTTTGGCTCTGCGTCCGTGTGATTTGTTATGAATTTATTATGTGACGGAAGTGGCTTTGGCAAGGCTCTACCAACTCGTAACTGGTCAAGCAGGCGAGAATGTTTGCATGCCAATAACGATGCCGATGGGCGCAGCTGCTAATTGGCACCGCTCACCTTTCTTCCCCAAGAAATCGCTCTTGGCAGAACAGCGAAATAACTTTAGATATTTTTGGCACTTTAACGCGAGTCTTGTTTTACAATTTAGGGAAGAGGATAGTATCTTATTTGTAAGGATACTTGGTAACATATTTATAAGTAACTTGTTTAGACAACTTTATATTTAGCTTAAAAAAAATTAAACAAATTTTATTTTCCCCTTTAATACTAAAAGCGGTAAGGTATATTCATCCAAATTTGGATGCATTGCCATCTATTTCGATACAATTTCGTTTTACATTTTTCCCTATGATCTTTCACATTTTACACTATCTGAAAAAGATCTGATAGTACATATATTTAATGCCGTTTCTGTACATCTAAAAGAGTATTTCCCTTTTCGTTCTTCAAGTTGCAACTCTCTACCCCTCTTTATTTATTCTTTTTTTTTTGCAAACATATCCAAAACACTCACTGACTGAGACGGACAGACAATGACGCTTCCTTGATAAGTTCAGCCCAAAAAAAAGGGGAATGAAACGAATGAATAAACGTGCGAAAGATAAAGGAAGTGCCAAAAATAATGAACGGAAATAAAATTTGGTGTTGCGGTGCTACAACTCATTAAAAATTATACCGCGATATGAGGCGATATGATACGTTATGATTTGCGACTCTGGAACCGCGAGACTTTCTTTATTTCTTTCGCCCCGAGTGGAGTCCAACTTACCTGGTGGTTAACGTTAACGCCAGTTGTCAGGGGGCCTGACATGGGTGCAACACCCAGGCGTGGAAAGGGATTCGCGGCCAACTCATTTTCACCTACAATATCAAAGTGACAGACAAAAAAATAACACTTTCTTCACTGAATTAAATATTGCTGGGTTGGGAAATTGAGAATTAATCAATTATGTTGACCCATTTAAAACTTTAAATATAAATCAATTTTTCCTTTTAATTACTTACATTTATGTAAATCTTTAAGCATGTGTTTCAATGTAATTAATTTTCTTAATATTTATGTTGAACAAACTTACATATGAATTCATTTCTCTAGGTGCACGTAACCCATGTCAGAGTGTTTGGCCCCAGGCAATTGCTAATATGTGGCCCGATTCCGATTCTGGGGATTGCACCTGTGGGGGATAGGGACACCGATACCACTGCCTGTCACCTGGACCGACCTGTCGACCGACCACGAGTCCAGCATTCAATTTCGGATTTCATTCCAGCTCGAACTCATATGCGGGCAGCAATTTCTCCGCCTTGCTGCCTGTCCTTCTTATCAGCTTTCTTCATTTATGCTGCGTTGCCTTTTGGGAACGAAAAAAAAACCTTGGTGCCGAACTGAAACCCAGAACCCATCCCGATTTTGAGGTCCGGCATTTGTAATACGGTGGCATATAACACTTAAGTGCCTGTTGTTGTTTCATAAGATAAACTCTTGCGGGGCCCACATACGGCCACTTTTGAGGCGAAACGGCGGATAACGCGATGCCAATTTCATTTACTGGCACTTTCATTAACCAACGCGAACAACCCATGCCCCGTCCCAAAAAAAGACGAAGAAAAACTGCATCAAAGTTGAATAAAATAAACGAATTGGCGTGTTTTTTAAAGTTCTCGCTGAAAGTTGCGGGTTGGCCACAAATGTTTGCTCTTACCGCAACGGAGGAAGGGAATTCTGAGAACTGTACTCAAATTAAATGGGTTTGTATTCCAGATGCAGCGATTGCTATCAATCAGTTATATTCGGGGAAAGCTCGAGAGTGTAGTCAACAAGAATCGGCGGAAGCAGTGGAAACTGTGCAAAAAATTGCATTGGCAACGAAATTTGATTTCGAGAACTGCTCTTTTTCTTCCTTTAAATTCTGACACATTTCTTAAAATATTTGGTATTTTTAGCACAGACAAATATTATAACAAGAGAGAACGCTATAGTCGGGTTGGTGTCCCGACTATCTAATACCCGTCACTCAGCTAAAGCGATCGCTGTGTCGGGTTGGTGTCCCGACTAATAATCGTAACTCAGCTAAAGGGAGTGCGAGGGAGATAGATATATGTTGACAATTTATAAAGCGTATAACTTTTTAATGAATGGTCCGATTTGAAAAATGTCTTCTACATTTCGATAGGTATAAATATACACAACAAAATTGCATTTATACTTCTCGGAAATCTTTAAAGATGTGGGCGCAGGACCCATTTTAAAATCGTTAGTGGGCGATTGTGGGCGTTAGAGGGGGCGTGGCGCTCGGCTAAAATAAACTTGCGCTGCGTAGGAAGCCAAAGAATATGTGTGGGAAATCTCAACCTTCTAGCTTTTGTAGTTTCTGAGATCTCAGCGTTCATACAGACGGACAGACGGACAGACGGACAGACGGACAGACGGACAGACGGACAGACGGACATGGCTAGATCGACTCGGCTAGTTACCCTGATCAAGAATATATATACTTTATGGGGTCGGAAACGCTTCCTTCTAGCTGTTACATACTTTTGCACGAATCTAGTATTCCCTTTTACTCTACGAGTAACGGGTATAATTATAATAATCTATAATTTAAATGAAATTTAATCGTTTTCCCTGTGTTAATACCAACCAATAAAATAATTATGGTTTTTTAAAAACATATTTCATTTCTAACAGCCAATCGATTATCTTTTACCGCTACCAGCAAGAATCAATCACAATGCTAATTTGCTAAAACCAAAATATTCCTCCTAAAAGCAGGTAAAACGATGAATTCCAATTGCTTCTTGTTTTCTTAGGTCAGAGAACTGAAAAGGCGAAAACTCTCCATTTATTATGAATTATGAGCATGCAACTAATCCTTATTGTTGTGGCATACTTTCAGGCGGTGTCATAAATAGTCCCCAACTTAAAACCAATGTGTGGAATTGTGAATTATTATTGCCATTATTGATTTATGCGAAAAATGTGTGGTGGGAAAGAAAGCAGGAGGATGGAGGAAGGCATTGGTCAAATGCAATCCCAGACTCTGGAACTGCTCTCTGTGTGTGGCTTATTCAAATTCAAATTAGATTATATGCAAACACCGGCCACTCTTTCACTTGCCGTTCTTTATTATTATATAGGAATGCCGACCGAAAAGAGCAAAAACAGCGAACGACGGACGGTCTACTAATATTTGCATAATCGCAGGCAGCTCAAACGGAGCTCAGCTGAACCGAGCTGAGCTGGCCAACATGCGGCAAAGCAATTATTTCTTTAAAAATAAATTGCATGCACAATTGGTAGCAATAGCAATTGCAGCGGCAGTTGGAACAACAAAATACCCACGGAGGATGAGGACCACCAGAGAATGGAATCGGAATCGGAATCTGGCCGAATGCAGGTCCCGGCGACGACTACGAATTTGGTCAAAACCTCTTTTTTGTGGCCAAGTGGAAAGTGGAGGAGGGGCAGCTCGTTTTTTGCGATTTGTGTGTACGCCTCTTTCGTTTATTTGCATATCGATTTGGAGTTTTTAGTCTGCCAGAACCTACTGGTCTTTCCATCTCTTAGTCTCAGGCCGAGAGCTTCCCCTAAAAGTACTTGCCATGATTTTATTTGCCCACAAACAATTGCATAATTGCCCAGCCTCTCTAGTCTGTTGGCCAAGCATTTAGCCCGGGGTTTCGGGCTCATAAATAAAAAGTGCCTGAATCTCAAGTGCAAATTCAATTTTTATAGCACACTTATGTAATCTCCGGAGCAATCTCTCGATGGGTGACATAATGCCGGCCGATCTGCCCGATAAGCACGTGCCATAGCCCGTTTCCATGGAGTAAGTTCTTAGTTGGCCGGAATATCGATGAGTGCAATAGTCTTAATTCGCCGAACGACCTGATTTCTTGGTAAAAGTTTTCGGGCAGTCACGTAGCCATAAAGCGTTGCTAAGTCTATTGTTGTTGCAGGAAAATTGAAAAGTTTTGTGGCCTGAAATTGTGCCCATCAACTTTGGCATATGCGCTAACCACTTTCAACTCTCGAGTACCTTTGGTTTTAATAACTTTCAAGAATCTAAATAGTTTCAACTGTGAAACTACATTTAATGACTTCTTATGTTAAAGCCTAAATTTTGTTGTTAATATTAAAAAATAAGTCTAATGCAAACTTTTTTATAAATTACTATTTTTCTATTTCGCCTGAATAAACCTGACTAAAACTAGGGTGTCTAATATTTCCTTATTCCTGAACGCTGACTTTTCCAAACGCCCCGGGAAATAATTAAAATTTTCACAGAACCTCCCTGCTTTTTTCGCTTTCAGTTCTTTCGTTTGCCTTGTTAGCCACATAGTAAGCCCTTTGACCAGTCAGCTCCGGAAGGGTGAAGCCCTCCAAGTCAGTCACTCTCATTATGTCCGCTCGTTTTATCATGTTCCTTGTTGACATTCGCGCAGACACAAATGAAGCAATTTTCCAGACATGCAAAACGTGCAACAGTTGCGACTGTTGTTGCAAATGGGAATTGGAATTGGAGCAACTGTTGCTGCAGTTAATTTTCGTATATTTAATTCGCTTTAAATTATTGCAGAGCGGCCATGACGTTGGTAGCTGGCCGCTCTTTGATGTGCGCCCCGTCACCCATCACCTCATCACCCGTTAGCCATTAACCAAAGGTAAGGCCAGCAAAAAGGAGCAGTCTCGAGCCACAAACTCCAAGCTTCAAGCTTCAACTCCGAGCTCCAGCTCCATCAATGATCCATCTGTGCAATTTGCAAGGCAAATCAAAGGCTTAATGAATTCATTTCAATTAAACAAACAAAAAGCGAATCAAGCCACAGCCGCATCAACGGCGATAGACAGTTTGCATTAATAAATCGTTTAGCTGGGAGCTCCGTTTCGTATATCTCCGGGCCAATCCATTTGAACTTGGCATTTGTGGTCGGAGTGGACTGGAGTGGAGTAGAGTGAAGTGCACAAAAAGCGATACCAAGAATCTTGTATTAATTGATTCTGATCTTTGAAGTTTAACCCATGCAGCTGCCAACCGAAGAATGGGGCTTACTTAAAAGGTTACGGGTCTTGTAATTTGTGTCTTCTTTTTAATGAGCTAGGCAAACTAATAAGAAGAATAAAAAAATTGAAAGCCTATGATTAATTATTGCAAATTGGTATTTAAAATAATTAACAGTCTTTTTTTATGTTTTTATATCGTTATTGATGTACTACATTTATGGACTTTCATAAGATAACTATAATTACTATAAAAATATTTTTGGTTGATATATTTATTTATGGGTATTATAAGTTTTATTTATTACTCATTACTGAAAATCTCCTGATTTATTTCGTACGCAAGCTATAAACTCATTTTTCCGGAAATTTCGTTTTTATATTTTACAATCCACCGCGAAATCGAGTATGTTTATTTTCCGTACATTCCGGACTGTATTTACAAACAGCTTAAGTTTATGCACGGGGTCAGTCACCCAAGACTTTCGGATTGCTCCCCTTTTTTGGGAAGCGACCGACAGCCGCATGGCTGATAAGCCTTAAGCTGCTTAATCGATGACCAGAGAGTTGTCAAAAATAATTCACAGGCCGCGGCAGCGAATAAAAGGTAAATACAAATACAGGAAGACAGCCCGGCGTATACGTAATGTTATCTGTGCAGCAGATCTACCCTTTGGTGCTCGCTGAAAAATAGGGGGGCATGCGAGGAGCGGAATCCCATCGGATGGCCAAAACAGAGTCTCCTGGTCGCGGGGCCCTTACATGAGAAATATTTTAGCGTACAATGCAAAAATGGTAGCAGCTTCGCAGCGTTTCCTTATCAGCTGCAACTCCGCTGACGGATGCACCCAAAAAAAAGAAAAACAAAAAAACTCCAGAAATGGGAAAAAAAGGAAACAAAGGTAGAGGAGGAGCTGAGATAATGCCACAATAAAGACAGCATAACGCGCCGCTGTTGAAAAATCGGTGCTCGAGCCTGACCAGCAGCATCAGCAGATGGAGAGGATGCGTCCGCATCAAGATAAACAAGCGTGCGCCTCGGTCTTCAGAATTGGTTGGCATTATATATATACATACATTTCTGCTGTATCTGCCCAGCCACCGGTGAGCCGAAAATCAAAGCTATAATAATGCATAAGTAATTCGCAGCAGCGGCAATCGAAAAGAGCCATCGGAACCTCGGAGCTCGTGCCATGGCTCAGTGCCTTGACAACAGTTAATCAAAATCCAGAGAAACAGGGCCAAGACAACTCGAGCACACAGCCTTCTTAAGCCTCTTCTCCGCCTCGGGCAGTTATTTATTAACTGAGTAGCATTTATCGGCACATCGTTGAGTGGCTGAGAGGACACCGCCCATACTCAAAGGATTCGTAATGAGAGCAGTTGAAAAGCTCTTTTTATGTGATTTAAAATCATCAGATATTTTTCCCCCTTTATGGCGGTATAATGCAATAAAAGAAAACTTATTTATGTTTATGCAACTTTGAAACCTTTGAATCTATATTTATACCCGTTACTCGTAGAGTAAAAGGGTATACTAGATTCGTGCAAAAGTATGTAACAGGTAGAAGGAAGCGTTTCCTACCCTATAAACTATATATATTCTTGATCAGGATCACTAGCCGAGTCGATCTAGCCATGTCCGTCTGTCCGTCTGTCTGTCTGTATGAACGCTGAGATCTCGGAAACTATAAAAGCTAGAAGATTGACATTTTGCATGCAGATTCTAGGAGTTCCTACGCAGCGCAAGTTTAAAAGGGTGCCACGCCCCCTCTAACGCCCACAATCGCTTATATACGATTTTAAAAATTTCAATATTTCAGAAAAGTAAAAATGCAGTTTTATGGTGTTTACACTGGTAAAAAAAACGCATAGTAAAATCAAATATTTTTTTAGTTGATTTCATTTACTACTTTTCATAGTTAAATCAAATAAATAAATCATTGATTTTAATAAAAAGCATATTTAAACCTTCATTCAAATATAAAAATAATGAAATCGAAGGGAATTATATTTGAAATGATATTACTGATGTTGAAAACCAAAGTCGCAATAGTAGTTTTTAGTATTGTAAATAGTAAGTTATATACATAGTATAATCAATGTTTTTTTCTGATCCGATTAAATACTTTCGCAATTTATTTTGAATAAAAAGTTTATTTGACACAATTATTTTGAAAGTCAAGATTCAAATAATATTAAATTAAATTTCCATAAAATGTATAAGTGAAAAGTAGCATTTTTAGTTTTAAAAAGTTATATGTGTTATGGATCGTGTTAACTTTACATTTAAATTGAACTTATCCACTCGCGCGTAACATGGTGCGATGGATCAATGGGTAAGGCATCTACCTCTGACGCGAGAGGACCCCGGTTCGAAACCGTCTGAGGCAGAGTAAGTAAAAAGTTTTTAAGAAGCGTATTTAACATTTCCTTAACATTTATAAGAACAATATTGTATTAAAAAAGTTGTAAAAATTACTAATCACAAAAAAAAAAAAAATAAGTTGTGGTGTCAGCGGGTCTTGAACCTGGTACCCCCGAGCACAAAATAGTATCAGAACCAAGCCCTTGACCCCTGAGCCATGCCCATATTATTTCCTTTCGAGGCAGAATGCTCTTTTAAGTTCACAGTAATATTTTTGATTGTAATGACAATAAATAACTGCATTTCAAAATTAAAGTAAATACTTTAGGCGCTCACTCGAAAAAAAAAACAAATTTGTAAATTATTATTACAAGATTCTGGATAAAAAAAATAGTCAAATCAAATACAAAAATCTTTGAATTTACTATAAAAATATTTAAAACATTATTAACTATGCGCCATATACGATTTTACTATTTTCATGTTAGGATCTATTTCGCTGGGAAAAATAATTGAAACAATGGTAAAATAGTGACATTTACCATTTTTTTTTTTACCAGTGTATCAATACCTATCGAAATGTAGAAGAAATTTTTTAAATCGGACCATTCGTTAAAAAGTTACGGCGGATCAAAGTTTTATCTCCATCTCCTTCGCACTTCCTTTAGCTCAGTAACGGGTATCTGATAGTCGGGGCACCCGACTATAGCGTTCTCTCTTGTTTAGATCTATATATATTCTCCATAAAAAGTTATGGCAAAACAAATTAGATACCTTTTCCCAGTGCCCATTTAATAAACTAATTTTAATTGATCGGTGAAAAACAAGGCAACTAACTAAGTACTAGGGGAAATTCCAGGGCCTCGAACTCTGCTTTTTCGCTCGCCACCTTGTGCGGACCGTGGGCCAATATTAACTGGCCTAACAAGTTCAACAAAAGGCATCGCAGCACAATGGCCAAGGCCCGAGGTGCAGTCAAATCCAGTCGCAGCATAGGGCCAAAGCCAAACAATGCCACTCGGCTTGTAAAAACACAGGGGAGCACACACAGTGGCCAGACCTGCGGACACTGAACTAGATTTTCATTGCCATGAAAAAAAGGAATTAAGCCAAGAGAACGGAGGTAAAAAATGAAATCAGGAAGTGTATTATATAATTTTATAGATACTAAACTCAACTTTGACACAAATCGGCTGAGTGCGGTCTGTAAACATGACATTTGCTGTACACGAATCCAGCCAGGAGTCGCTTGGCCAAGACGCTGCTGGCTCGTTTGGACCGCTTCTTTAGAGAAGCTGGAGTTGCGCTGGGTGATGCTTATCGCAAAACGTTCAATTATTTTATTTGGTGCAGATGTGGCCGGCGATAAAAGTGCCTGATAGCAACGGCATCGACATCGACATCGCCAATGGACCGCAGCAGCTTCTTTGGGTTTAGTAGCTCGGGGAACGGACCAGGTTGAGGCCGCACTTCGGTGCCCGAACCCGGGGATCGGCAGAGCTCAGTTGGCCCTGCTTTGTATATGAGGTTCAATTAAAATCAGCAGAGGCCAGGCGGAAAAAGCAGCTAAATAATTGACACAAGAAAGCAAAGCCGCAAATTTGCCGATCCGCAGAAGGAGCAGCAGGAAAAAATGTGTCATCCGATAAATGTCCGTGTTGATGGTCAGCCTCATAAAATGGTCTAAGCTAAAGGCCACAAAACGAAGGGGAAACAGCACGTAACTATGAGAAAAGAAAAGATAATAAAAGAAAGACAATTTTGCTCAAGAGAAATGGTCTTAAATATGTCCAACAAAATTTTCAATGCTATGCTAAGGGGTCAATAGTAGCTTTTTTTTAAGGTCAGCATTGTTTTAGCATTTTTACTTGAATAGTTCTCATAATCTTAAAAGGAAATAAAACTCCTAAGCAAGAAATAAGTAGGTTTTCGGAAAAAAAAAATCGTTGCATACTTTTTTACACTTTTATAAGTGATTTGAAAAAAAGAATTGTTAAAAATTATTTTCGTTAATCGAAAATAAGTGTCTCTCGCTAAATACTAAGTACTCTGAACATTTCTAATAGTTTTGAAAATAATAAATCTCTTTTACCAGAAAGAAGTAATTATTTGAATAAAAAATATATCTTTGCGTACCTTTAGGCACTTTTATAAGTGATTTAAGAAATTAGGTTGTCTAAAAAATTTCTTTAACATAATGGAGAGTCATTTATAACCTGTTAAAATTAAAATTAAAATTAAACCAACCGAAGCTTAAACGCAAATATTGAATTCTCCCTTTTAAAGACAAGACTTCATCCAAAGCCGCAATGAGTGAATCTTACTAGCTGTTTTCTGCAGTTGGCAGCAAAAGTTACAATTAAAATTGTTGAAGCGCAGCGAAGAGCCGACCAGAAGCCAACAAGCGCCGTCGAAAAGCCAAAGCGGATGTGGATGTTGTGGGCAGTGCTGGCAATTCGTTTGCCATTGTTGGTTGTTCTAGCAATTAAAATTATTCCGTTTGAGCTATTGATGATGATGGAGGCCCGTCCCGAAAGAGGGCACAGACTGGTTGGCATCGGGAAATGCGGAAGCGGAAAGTGTGCCATTATGCGACAGCTCGATTTAGTTATCTAACAGGGCCAGAACTGAACAGAAACGGAAACCGACTGGCTGTGGCCAAAAGTTCGCACAGTGTGCTATATCAAGTTGAAGTCTTTCGGTTGCGGCGACAGCAACTGGACCAAAAAACTGCATGTGGACTGGGGACCGCAGCAAGTTGGAGTGCCAATGGTTTTTTAATTCTCGCTCTGTGCTGAAACTTTGCACGCGGAACGACTAAATCAAATCCAATTTGCAATCAAATGCAAATTGCCATTAGATTAGTTTATTTGCGCCAGCCACCGCGACACGCGGAATCCATCCTGTCATCTGTCGCCCAAGCAGTGACAGGTTTTTCCCACAACCGAAGCTGAAGCTGAATTATATTCGCCCTTCCCTTTGAGTTGGAAATACAAAAAAAGGAAATAAAAGGGCAACGCAGTTAATAACAAAGTGACGGAATATGCGACAGCAGCTGTCGCACTGGCAAACAGCTTTCAAATGCCAAAAGGTATGCCAAAAAGACACTGCCAGCAGTCATGTCACTACCAAGGAGTCACTACCCCAGGAGCTCTTGAATTGAGTCTGATCAAATTAGAGTCTGTGGGGATGAGGGTGTGTTTGAGTGACGCTCCGGCTGTGGATGTAGGCGTGGATGGGGGCGTGACTGGGGCTGTGGGCGGCCAGTGGGCGTGGTTGTGGGTGTCCAACAAGTTAAGTGAGTTCTAACGCTTCTCCCTCCATTCCGGTGGACTAGCTAACGTGCAATAATATTGTACCACATTTTGGGGTTGAAAAGGTTTAAATAAGTAATAGCTTTTATGACTTCGCATTTTTACAATGATATCAAAACTGCAAGCGTATAAGAAGAAATATACTTTCATGCTCTCATGGGTTTAAAACAACAAAAAATGCAAAAATAAATTGAAAGCTCAGATTGATATGTTATTCATATCATTTTGATATGAATAAAGATTACGTTAATCGTATTTTACAATATTTTTTCAAAAAAAACCAAATTTGTTGTTTTAAAACAGTATTTTTATTACATTTATGAAATGATAAAATATGAAGTTGATATGTTTGAATCATAAGTTTGATAAGTTTAATCATATCGGCTTTTTATTGATATGAAACATGGTAGAAATTACCCTACTTCAAGAGGATTTTTTTCTGTTTATAAACATTTAAACAACTTTTGGACAAGAGATGCAGTTGCAATATCCACATATAATAATCGTGGGAACTTCCCTAAAAATCTTAAACCAAATCGTTGAAATTCAATATTCACAACCAAATTCGCTTAGCCCCCATAAGTATCTGAATTTGCCACATTTTGCTCTTCGATTGCCCCCACATATTTTTGCTGGTGCCGCTTAAGAAGCTGAGTCTCCTTTCGTCAGCCACCCACATTGACAGTTTTTCAATTGTTTGCAATACATTCTGGCCACATTTATGCAGAGATTTCAAACGAGGGGGAGTAGAGGGGGAGAGGGATTTGGATCTGGATCTGGTGGCACCCAATGCTGCCAGTTGCCATGATGTTCCAGGAGCTGGAGCTCGTACTTTCTGGCTCGTGCCCGCCTGTGTGTTATGCTTTACTTTTACTTCGATGCACACAAAAGGCCATGGAAAACTGTCATTGGCAAAATCTAAACAATAAGTTTGTTATTTTTGAGCAGAGCCAACGAACCGAAAGAACCGAACCTCTGCTGCTGCTGGCACTGGTGCCACTTCACTCCCTTTTGCGATAATGCCGCACCCTTGGAGGTTAGGCAATTTTTCTAGACTTTGGTTGACACAATTTTCGCTTGGCCCAATGTTTTCCCAATGCTCTTGCGAATGAGTTTCTCTGGCGCAAACCTAATTGATTTCAATTTTCCATTTTGCATAGGGCAAACTTCCAGGCGAGCAGTTAATAGTGCTAATATCTGCAATTGTTTGCCCAACATGCATTATTAGTAGCAGCAATTGTCCAACAATTTTCCATTTTTCACGCTCTCCGAAAAGGCCTGCAATCCTCGCCTCCAGGACGGTAGGTGCAATTTACATATTTGACAGCCGTGTCATGGTCAGAAACGGAGAATAGCTTTCATTTTTCCTGCCTGTGACACTTTTGGCCAACACTTTTTGTACAAATATTTTGACAATTTGACTGGCAGTTGATTTGGTCGACAGTCAAAATTATGGCCATAAATTCCACACTACACATGTCAAGCAATTAAATTCAAATTGTTTTTCATTTGCTTTATTAGATAATTGAAATAGTTTATTAAAGACTCATGGCGTTGGCAAAGTGTTGAAGAGAGTGTCTATAATTATACAGGTTAGCTAGCGAAACTGGCTTTTTGACTACCGTTGGCTTTGTAAATAATGATAGGTAAGAAATAGATTTATGACCATAAAAGGGACAAAAATTTCAATTAAAGGTGCCAAAAATGCGTAATAATTTACATATGCCCTTAATTTAGTCAAGTGGATAGATATTTTAGCTTAAAATTTATTTGACTCGGTGTCTCTGCTCGAATGGAATTTAATTCTGGTCAGTTATTGCAGCCATAAAGAAAACAATTACCAAAAAAAATGTTGACAGCCATATTTAGTGCTCCTTGTTCATTTGCCGACCCATACCCATTGACCTCGTCTTTCCTTTCCCTCCCACACGGAAAAAATCCCCCATTCTATTTGACAACTACAATGGTTTTATTGGGACACCGTACTAAATTTATGCAACTCAATGTGCGGCACCAAATTATGTACACTTCATTTCGTGTACAATAACGAAAGAAGCACACGCCATATATTTCGCACTTTGCCCGTGAAGGAAACTCACATCAGGTGCAGACATTCGCCCGATGACCTGAACTTGGGGGTCAGTTTATTGTTTACCTACGATACAACAGCAATAATGGCGAGAACTGTGGACGTGCCAATAGCTACGAGGGGTGTACAAGTCCTTGGATTCCTAGTTTGGTCTTATGTGAATACAAATTCGACACAAATGTGAAAATGCGACAAGATTTATGCCAAAGTAATAAATATAAATGCGGTTTTGAGTAGAAAATAGAAACATAGGAGCATTTGGCGCACACAAAGGTGCGTTTACACATTGTATACCTAGTACATATATATCTACATATATGTGTATATTCGGACGGACTGGGGCAGTAAATCATTGCGGCTGGGCTGGCAATTTATCGTGCCGCCCCCCCATCCATCTGGCCATATGTTACACGAGTGTAAATATTGAAATAACTTAAGGAAGTCGGCTAGGAATTCCTTGACTGGCCGACTGGTCGTGTGGACATCGAGGCGCCCCAATAAATCACACGAAAAAGAGCATTGAACGAAGTACTACCGGGCGCATACGTAATCTATTTGAAAATGGCATTGGCAAACAAAAATGCCACTCCAGCTGCCCTGTGAAAAGGCGGGGGAATAACGGGGAAAAACGCAATTTTTATATTTTTGGCTTACCAATCAGATGCTGTTCCACCTCCACGCCTCCTCTATTCACATTTTCCGGCGATGGCAACTTGCAAAAATATGCAAAATTTGCAGCTTTCCCGAATTTATGGTTATTTGTGTTGCACTCTTAATGCTATTGAACTTGCACTTAACAAATGGCATGGAGCCGAATCCGATTCGCCAACCTCAGATTCACCCAGTTGCACTCCATTTAGACGATGAAATAAAATTTGCCTGCCCTCCACTTCCTTTTCTTTTACATTCTTTTTTCTGTATTTTTGGCTGTCTTTCAAAACATTTTAGTTACATTTTGTATATGCGTTTCTGATATATGTCTGCAAATTGGAAGGCAAATGCAATAAAATAACTTTCATGTACATGTGTATAAAAATATAAGTATTTGGCTTTTACGGGTCCAGTCTGAGTTCAATATTTAAATACAGATGCTTTACTAAAAAGTTCAATAAATTGTTGTGGTTTGGTTAGCAATTAAATGTAAATCTCTCTTTGACAAGCTTATAGTAAACTTTAATTGAGTCAAAATCGTTGTATACCATGCTATATTCTGGAATTTTTGTAAAGTAATTTAATTTAACTGTTGTCCATTATAACTTCGAATTGTTCAACATCAGTTCGGTGGTTTCCTATCATTCTGAAATGCTTCTTTTTCGCAAGCTGCATTGCGTGACGCAGCAGTTGATCAGGATCCTGACCTTGTGAGTTTGGAAAAGATAAAATGGCGTCTAAAAACAATACAATAAATTTTGTTCGGCAATTGAATTAATTTAAAATATTGGTAGTATTTTTGTATTTACCAAGTATGACGTGATAAAGTTTGGGAAAGCCTAATAGTTTCTTCTTTCCGTGTGATCCATTCAAATTATAATCCAAAATAATATTTAATGACAATACATTACATAAGTTTTTTCCTATATTGTTGCGCAGTAGTTTGCTTATGGTAGACACCTAGTAGCACAAAAACAAATTTTAATTTGTTTAGGAACTTAATTGAATTCGAAATTTTTTTATACTTACATAGTAGCTTTTGTTATCATCGCAAATAAGGGATTCTATTTTTTCAAGAGACTCATCTGAATTTATTGGAAAATCAAACGTAAGAACGTTTGCAGTTGCATCCTGACGAACCAGTTTATTGGTAACATTCTTTAGTTCAGAAAGTGCTTTCATTATTGCTTCACTGTACTGTCGATTTTTAGCTAAAAAATAGTTTATATTCATTATGATTATAATTTAATTTTATAATACTGTTTATTTACCCTCAATTTTGTCTAGCTTTGTACTGAGCTTTGTAACGCATTCTATAAGTAAACTTTTGTAATATATTTTACATTATGATTCATATTTACCTTTCAGTGCATCGACCTTTGTCTCCAAGCGTTGGCAATTATCGCACATGTCTCTTTATTTTGACCTAGGAAAAAGCAAATAAATTAAAAACAGCAACATATACAAATCCGATGTTTTCAAAATCACTTGAATTGTTTATTTCATGGTAAAACTACTCTTTTTATAGAGTTTACCTGCACTTGTGACTACTCAGCTCGGCTGTAAACAATAAAGTGATTCAAGTGTTCACCGTTTCCAACCAGTTTTATTCCCAACTCACTTAAATCTAGTTTGCTTGCAACCAGTCAAATTCCAGTCGCTGCTAAACCAGTTTTTAACTATTTAATTTCCGTCCAAGAAATAACTTAACCGGTTTAGTCAGCCGAATTCAAAATTTGCAGCATACATACGATATATAAATATTATGTAAATTTTTCACAATTTTTAGTAATTGGGAATTTTTTCTTCGAATTTTAAAAATTATAAAGTAATAACAAGGGTGTTGCCTTCACTTGAAATGTAGCTTAAATAACTTCAACATGAAGTGTAATATTTTTTTAATTTTATTCATATATTTTATAAGTTCTAGGGTATAATTTTATTTTTAGTCCTTTATTTTTCACTTAAAGCATATGTTTTTTTGTTATAAAGAAGGATTGACTAAATTCATCTTCACGCATTCTTGATTGCTTAACGCAACCGCTTTCGAAATTGATATTTTTTATGTAAATAGAAGTAATCAAATCGGTGTTTTTTGTTCCAGTCCTGCACCACCCACTAATTAAAATCCATATGCGCCAGCTAACTGACAATAATTAGCACACAAACGCGTGCAAACAAACACACAATTAAAAGTGCATAAATATGCAGGAATTGTGCATGCTGGCAAAGGTCTTGCCATACCCAAGCCCCGGCCGGGTATAAAAACTAAAGGCATTATAATGTCAGGCTGGCTTTTATGCACACGTCAGGCTAATCGCTAGCACAAACACACCTCCATAAAGGAGCGATCCCCCTGCTCATGCCCAACCCCCAGCCTAAAACCCATCTAAAACCCCCTGCTTGTGCAGGGCAAATAGAGCGAAACCATAATTGTTGTACTTGGCAACTTGAGTTCTCTCCTCGCTTTTTGTGTCGTAGTCAGCAGCCGCCGTTGGGGCCATGAAATATGAATAATGTCAGTCCCAGCACCATAACCAGTCCACAGTTGGCCAAATCCGAGGATGGAGGAACTGCTGCCGCTGCTGCATGTGCTCGGCAGCTTGATGTGCGTAGTATTTGCTAAACCCATTTAATGAACCCCCTCCTGAACCCGCCGCGTTCACTAATTTCCCTTAATTCGCTGCCAGCGGGTGGCTCTTCAGGGGGATGATGATGATAGTTTGACTTGGAGAAGGTTTCGGTATTACTTTTAATGAAATGAGCCGGAGTCACTTTCACGAGCTCGTAACTGCAAATTGGCCGTACTCCTCAGCCAACATCTCCGGTGACACGGACCACGGATGATGAACAGACAGAGGTATTTGCATTTTAGCCCTGGCAGTTAAATATTTGTGAAGCCACGTGATGGCAATTAAAATGCGTAGCCCAGTAAATAAGGCTTAGGATGTGAGCTCGACAACCTGTTCTGAGTTGATAAAAAGATTTGCTAGTGTCAAGGATAATCATAAACCGTTTGATGAGATTTCACAAGAGTAAATGACAACCCCAATTAAATACATTTCATTTAATAGATTTAAAAACTTAAGTAAATTGTTTTTTAAATAAGAAATTATACAATTTCCATTCCATTATTTTAATTTTATACCACAGGAAAAGGAACTCTTCGATTTCTCCTGTTTTATGGTCCAAATAAAAATGGGGACCATAAAAAACTAGAGAATTGAATAGTCAATATTTTTTCTCAGTAGGATGTCTCAGGATGTCCAAGGTCCAGTAACCTGTCACGAAATGTCAGTCGGCGTGACCTGCTGCACCAGTGGGAACCACATGTCAACGCTGATGCGAAAATTGTCAAGGGCGATTCTTTCGTTAACACACAATATATTATGCAAATTGCATTTTAAGCTGAAAACGGCATTTTAATTATATTCATAGGCTGGCATGACCAATTTTGCCAGCTAATAATTTCATAATTAACTTAACAAATTTGGCTAGAGTCCGTTGCAAACAAAGCGCACGTCTGTCAAAAAATGTTGGAAACAAATACAGTTAATTAAATTGGACTTAATTAAAATCATTTGAAAGAGCAAACAAATCAACTGTTTACTAAGTAAATAATCCAAGCGTTTGATATAGAAACAGCAAGTTGAAGTAAAGCTTAATTTTAAAAATGTTGAACAAATAAGTAAAAATAAGTTATAACTAACATCGGCCACTTATTGGCAACTGCAGTAATGGCTTAGTGAAGGCATCGCCCCAAAAAACCACCCTCATAACCTCGATCGGCTTGTATGTAGGGGAGTGTAGGGTAATTTGACGAGTAGGGTAATGTGACGAACTCGTCGAATCTCATATATGACGTCACGACAAAAATTCCAAATAAATGTAGTCGTCTCCTCTTATCGTGTCGACAATGTATTTACAGTAATATTAATAAGAAGTCCCGTAATTTGTTCGTGAGGTAATTTTCGCTAAAAATGTGATGCGCAAACTAGCAAACCCATTCAATTTACTTGTGTTTCAGCAGTGCCAGAGCAAAGATGAGTGGAAAATAAAATCAGGCAAATATATGCACGTATACACGAGATCTTTATCAACAGTTTTTGGTACCTCGCGTTTTTTTCTTTTGCGCCGTTTGAGAGTGACACCGATTTTGCTCCAAGTCTACCTTGTAGGGTATCGTGACGAACTTTTTGTAGGGTATTGTGACGAACTTTTTTTATTCAAGAATTTTAACTGTTATCGTTGATTACACTAGTTTACAAAATAATATTCTTGGTGTGCTCCCCAGCAATTGATGGCAATTTCTGTTAGTGCTGGACCCCTAGATCACAAAAATAGCACTAATTTTTTTTCGATGGCATAGTTTTTTTTTAAAGATTTTTTAAAGTTTGAAATGTTAAATTTCGGACTTTTTTCGAATTTCTTCTTATATCTCGGCAGATATCCACTCGGTTGGGCCAGTTTTAGTTTTATTTTAAATTCAATAGATCAGAGCTTAACTTTGCCATACAGATCAATACGATTGGATGAGTAATGGCAGCGCAGAAGCTCGACAAAGAGGAAAAATGTGTTTTTTGGTCGTCTGTAAGTCGGCTGTATATATCGTAAAAACTTGAAATAAATCCGTTGAAAAATCATAAGGGGTACAAACTTAAAGTTTACATCCTACCGAATAAAACAAGCCGGATATGGCCCAAATCCATGGAAAACTGGATTTATGGTGGATTTTTAAAGTTCGGATTTTTCCACTTTTTTCGGTTGACAGAGTCCAAATTTAAGATTTATCATAGGCGGCGACATGTAAACAAAAATGAGTGGTGACGGCAGCCGGGTCAAAAAATAGCTAAATTTAAAAGCTAGAAAATTATAAAATAAATTTAATTTCTGAATATTCCTTTAAAAATATAAAATTGCTTGCGTTATGACTGTGAGTATTTTTAACAAAGTACTATCCATTTGGATAGTTCATTCTTATGAAAAAAGTAACCTTAATTAAAACATTAAATTCACTTTAATAATTTTCTAGCTTTTAAATATCTGATTTAGCTATTTAGTGACCCGGCTGCCAACACCAATTATTTTTGTTTACATGTCGCCGCCTATGATAAATCTTAAATTTGGACTTTGTCAACCGAAAAAAGTGGAAAAATCCGAACTTTAAAAATCCACCATAAATCCAGTTTTCCATGGATTTGGGCCATATCCGGCTTGTTTTATTCGGTAGGATGTAAACTTTAAGTTTGTACCCCTTATGATTTTTCAACGGATTTATTTCGAGTTTTTACGATATATACAGCCGACTTACAGACGACCAAAAAACACATTTTTCCTCTTTGTCGAGCTTCTGCGCTGCCATTACTCATCCAATCGTATTGATCTGTATGGCAAAGTTAAGCTCTGATCTATTGACTTTAAAATAAAACTAAAACTGGCCCAACCGAGTGGATATCTGCCGAGATATAAGAAGAAATTCGAAAAAAGTCCGAAATTTAACATTTCAAACTTTAAAAAATCTTTAAAAAAAAACTGTGCCATCGAAAAAAAAATTAGTGCTATTTTCGTGATCTAGGGGTCCAAGTCTAACAGAATTTGCCATCAATTGCTGGGGAGCATTTCGGCTGTAAACTAGTGTTATTTGTAAAAAAAATATAATAATACCAGATAACATTTACTGCTGCAGTTTTATTGTTGTTTTTAATAGTGACGTCAGTTTAATTAAATTTTAAAAAAATTTGCACTTTGACCATTTTCTTTATTGTAAGTTTGGATATTATCTTATTACTTCTTTCTTTTCCGTATCGAAAATAACTTTTCCGTAAATAATATATAAAAAAATGTATTTTTTTGTTTGCTAAAAGGATGGTTTACACCAAACGCTGTGGAATTTGGCTACGTTGAAATTTCGAATCCAAATTTTTTTTGAAATATGCTCAGTAAATGTAAGTAACTTTCTGCTTTTACACTTTTAAAAAATATTGATTTTTGGAGAAGTTACATTAAAGAACAAATCGTTCGTCACATTACCCTACAACTTTTGAAAGTGCAAAAAAAGAAGGGTTCACGCCAAACGCTGTGGGATTTAGCTGCATTGGAATTTTGAATTTCGAATTTTACAGGGATATGCTTAGTAGATGTAAGCAACTTTCTGCGTTTACACTTTTGAAAAATATTGATTTTTAGAAAAGTTACATTCAAAAACCGAATCGTTCGTCACCTTACCCTACACTCCTAAGGTTGTAGGATGAATAAAGATGGACACTGCTGGCAAAACGCATGTTGCGAAGAGAATTCAATTTTGAAAGAGGGGTCCTATGTAAACATACAGTCATACTTCTATACAAAAACCTTAACATTTTTTTTATCATAATCAACCAGAGCTTGCAAGGTTCGGTCAACCTTTTCAAAGTGTTAGGAAAAAACCTGTCACAAAAAACCCTATGACAACTGGGTGTGAGCTAACCCCTTAAAAGGGTTTTTGCTTAACAGATGTTACGCTCTGAGCAAAACCCTTTTTTTCAGAGTTATTTCGGTTTCGGTTTCTACTGACTACTTTGCTCGGTCTGTTAAGGAAAACGGTC